AGAAAAAAAGGGGACTGATTGAGTGCCGCGAGTAGCGCGGAAGTTCTATCACTCCTATTCCATGAGGAGTAAAGGTACTGTGGAATTTCCTTAAGAGATCACAGCGCGGACAAGGGTCTCGCGGACGATCGACAGCAGGCGCGTCTGTCAAACAGCAAATTATTAGTAAGACAGAAGGCAAGGAGGATAAAGCATCGTTTCTGCATTACATCGGCTCCCGAAGTCGGAGCAATGAAGCCTAGACCTTTGCTGGTTTGGTAGAAACAGCATTTGAGGCACATTTGGGCCATAACCCGTGGGAAATTTGCAATGCGCTCGCACGGAGCTGGTTATCTTCTTCCTCATGTCAGTGATCGCTTCCTCAGGGACCAGGATCAATTGCCACCTGTCGCTTGTCATACCGCACTAGCCTGATCCACCATGAGATCATGACAAGCAATTTGATCCTACAAGATGGTGAAGTCTTTGAGCGTCTTTGGAGTCCAGTTCATCCACGAAGTTGAAGCGAGATCACAATGGATCCATACAAAGACCAGGAACGCGGCCACAGGCGCAACAGAAAAAATTTGTTGAAAAGTCCCTTCATCGTATACTTGGCCTCAATAATAAGTTATTGTAAATGACTGACTAATGGCTAGCGACCTCGATGATTGCCATATCCCATCAATGCATTCAAGATATGTAAGCGTCAGCTCACGGAACCAGAGCATGGATCTCTCATCGACCACATCAAAGCAAGAAACAAATCAATCCAGAAGCCTGGAACAAAGGCATTGTTGATTTCTTTGTGGGTGTGTGGCGTTGTGATCTGGCGATCTATAAGACGCAGACATGGGCATCTACCTTGAAATCGAATAGTAATCTTAATTCTAAGCCTGCGACTTTAGCATCCTTCTTCATTTTCCATCAAATACGGCAATCATGGCTCAGCGAGGGACATTCACCGTGGCGACACCCAAGCCTGCAACGTTCCTCACCATTCCGCCAGAGATACACCTTCAAATTATCAAGCTTCTGGATGTCCCATGGCTCGTGCGATTGGGCCTCTCACTCCCCACAGAATATGGCCTCCTTGGGAACGAGATTCAGAAGAGAGCCAGAATCGGTGCACTCCCGTCTCAGGAAGTCTACGATAAGCGCATATCGTATGGGGACGACGGTGAGATACGAATCCATCGCTTCGCTGGAGATGCCGAGTGGAGAAGATCCATCCGCGAGCCTCTTGCGGAAGCTGTTCGCGCCGGTCAACACGACGTTGTCAAATTCTTCCTGGAAGCCGGGGTGAGTGCCAACTCAATTGACCTGGACGCAGTCCCAATGCTCCATCTCTCCATCAAGGAGTGCCAGTATCATATCACGGAGTTCCTGCTACAGTACAATGCTGACCCAAATGTTGTTTGTTCAACAACCGGGGGGCAGATGGCATTGGATTATGCGGTAGGTGGGGCCCGTGGTTCGCCGAATTGGGTTCTCGAGATGCTGCTGGCGGCCGGGGCCAGATTCGTTCATGACTCCACCTTCATTATCTGCTGCACTCAAAGCTGGGGGGCGGCCTTTTTCCGCCTGGCCGCCAGGAACGGAGCGGAGATACTGCCGAAGACTCCTGACGGTGATTTCAGACTACAGGCTGCGTACAAGCTTGCGCGTATAGAAGTAATCGATTGCCTCTTGGATCTGAGACCGAGGCTGGTGAATGCGCGTCACCATGGATCATCTGCGCTTGACATGGCGCTCATGTATGGACGGGAAGATGTTGCGGTCTCCCTTGTTCGCAGAGGTACACCTCTAGACACCAGTGCAGAGAAGCAATTGACCCTTGCTATGCGCTATGGACGGACGAAACTTGTCCGGGAGCTGTTGAGGCATATCCAGCTGGCGAATAAATGCCCGAGATGTAAATGTGCTGCCATTGAACTGTCGGAAGAATATAGGCGGGAAGCATCTTATCATGACCAGCAGTAGACAGCGTTGGCTCAAAATGATATCATAGACTAATCTAACTTGTAAGACTTGCCCCGGGAGAGAGATGAACGCGTAGAACGCGATGCGAAAAGTGACATCAAATGCACCACCGAGAGCAGTGAACTGTGGGGATAAGCCCACCCTGGCGATATTTTCCTGGTGATCCACCTACATGCTTCAAAGCTACAGTAATCAATCGGGCGATAAGCATCGGTTCCCGGCACATTCACGGGTAAATGATCCGCATGGCAGGAAAGTGGCTTGGCTGCGTTCCTTGCAATCGGTTCTGTGGAAAGGAAAGTCGATCTATGTACTTTCCATAAACCCATCGGTCAATTTGAGCAGAAGTATCCTTGCTTCGCTAGCAATCGATGAGCGACCAGCCACGTTGCTGCACCCTTGGTATGGCACTGCAGTGGAGCCAAGCTACGTCCCCAAGCTCATGGCGGGGGGACCCTTTCAGAGCGATTAGTCGATCAGGGGGAGATAACAGACACTCCTACCGGGTTGCGCGGCTGATCGATTTCCCTTACCAGTTTCTTTCTCCACTGCAGCATAGACCCAAGTACGAAGAATATCGTGACCAAGTGATTTACAGTGTGTCATCATGATTGACAGATCACTGTTCAGACATGAATGCGTGCATGGGTGCATTTCTGACCATTCCGTCAAGTCGCAGAAGCGCCGAACTACAACTAAGCAATCCGCATGTTGACTAATCATCGTATGCAGGATGTGTAGTGATAGAGAGGAAGCCGATTCCATGCAAATCACACAAGTAATGAGCAACCTATGCATGAATACGTATCGCGACTCACGAATGCCAAGTCACAGCGCGTACTGAGGGAATGACAGGGAGACAAATGTCCGGTGTCCACATTCCCTGCTCCGATGGAAGATGGCATGATAAGCCGCTTCAATAAGGTACTTCGTAGTATCTCATGGAAGCGCCTAATTGATACTGGCCCAGATTGTCCGAAGACAGCTGCGATAAGACCAGGGCTCTCCGATCACTCAAAAGGGAAAGTGGTATGAAATCCCTTGGGAGTTTCGGACATGGAATGCTTTGCCGGCCGAAGCGAGTGTGCTAGAAGTGAATTGGCGCAAGATACCCTTGACCGTTCAGCCTGACTCGGGTCAACAGAAGTCAACCTTCTGTTGAATTCCAGCAGGATCAAAGGGGGGACCCCGTAGGGTATGGGGTCTACAGCGTATATCAGAGTACCTTATTTTAGGCGTTTGGAGGATCCACCGGGGAAGCCGGCGGCGGCGGGCGGGCAACCCAGATCGACCTCACGTGTCCCATTTTCTTCCCCCCTTCCCGTCCCCACTTCACCGCCCTCTTCAAGTCAAGTTCTCAACACTTTGAGCCTTGGAGCCTTTGAGGGACTCGTCCTTCCCCGGCCCGGTTGATGGCCAGATCAATCAGGCAAGGAGCTTGGTGGCATCTGCTTAGTTCAAGGTTACTATTGGCGACCATCGCGATGATCCTTTGCAGACCTGCCAATCAGCGTGGGGCGGAACATCATCAGATTGTCTGGACACGAATCCTCGGTAAATACTAGGTAGTTGTTGAATCGTCTAGCTCGCTTCTCGAATGTTGTTGGCTGATCCTGTATTGCGTCACGGCTCCCCCCCCCCTCCACTCTCTCTCTGAGTTATCACGGAGTAAGTTACGGAGTGAGAGTCAAACGGAGTATACTACCACACTGAAAAGAAACCTTGTATTACCCTCGTTTCTGTCTTTCACAAGTCAAGTGCAGTTCAGCGGTTGTACTGGATCTCATTTGTAGTCACTATCCAGTATTGTCATATGCTCCCGCCAAGTCCGGGGCGTTTGTTGAAGCTGGTCTTGATAGGATGATGCGGAGAAAGGTGGTTTCAGGACTCCTGATGATCTTAAAATCATCGGGAGGGGTAATCATGAAAAGATCCATGACACCACGATACGGCAATCGACAGCTTTCCAGACAAGAAAGGATCAGCTTCACTGCTTCAGTAAGTCCTGGCTGATATGCAGAGCACGTCCACCGGCAGTACCGCTGATGCCGCAGGTGGGGAGAGGATGCGAGAGGGGACCCAATCTATCTGCCTCGAGAAACAAGCACATCCCTGAAAGTAGCCAACCATTCAACTGACAATCAAGTAACTTATCTGCTCCCGGTGTACCGGAAAGTTAGTGATTTGTCCGCCCAGCAGAATTCATTGGCTGCTCCATACATACTTGCGCAGCGTCCTCTGTAGCGCCGGCAAGTAAATCCTGAAGGTGTGAGCGAGAGCAAATATGCAGGCCTGTTGGAGGTACAGTACATTACATCTGCAGAGGGCAGGTCCTGTCTTGGGTAGTATGTGGTCTGTAAGTAATGTAAGAATGTAAAAAAAAATGTAAAGAAATGGGCAGAAACAGGCCGAGCATGGAGTCAAGTCAATTTGGTAGCTAACCATGGTTGACCCTCCCCATGACCTGTCATTGCCCATTTCTGGGACAACTGGTTAAATGATTAAGTTGTTACCTTGTGAGACCGACTCTCCAAGAACTGAAACCCCTGAGGGGAGGATGCAGTGGTAGAGGAATAAGCCAGAGGCCCAAAACAGAAGAGATGCGAATAAGATCACCAACAAGAGTAATGCCCAAGCATTCTGGTTTCCTATTTTGTCTATCAGAACATCAGAAGAGTATACTAGTCGGTCGGGACGCGAGATGGTGGTCCCATCCTTGTTACCACTATTAGACTTGGCTAGACCGCCCGACCCCAGTGTGTCCCCAGTCGTGTGGGCGGGTGGGTAAAGGGAAGAAGCAAAGTAAAGCAAAGTAAAGCAAAGTGAAGTAAGGCAAGGTGTAGGGCCGGGGCTGTAGGCTGTAGGCTGTAGGCTGTAGCTCACTCAATTCACTCACCCACCTCTTCCCTTCCCCCCGCCCCCCCCCCCTCCCCCCCAACGGGTTCCTGCAAAACGGCTGGTCATCGAAGTACTGCACAGTACAGCACAGCCAGCTTCCCCAGGAATTTAAACTTGGCTTCCTCCCTCGTTTTCCTCCTCTTCTTCCTCTCTTTTCCTCCCATTCTCTACTTCTGCTCTTCTACTCTCTTATCCTCTTATTTGATTCATTCCCATCTTTGGTGACTGTGTAAATACATATACTCCATACTCGCACCTGTCTACTTCAAGCTTACCCTACCTGTCTTGTTTACTGTATACTTGGCGCTGCCTTATCCGATAACCCTACATACCTTAACCATCTCGGTGAATCTCTTATATCGCCTGCCATCCTCATCCATCACCCCACAAGGAAGCTATCAGCTATCTCCAACAATTCACAATGGCAGCTCCTCGCTCAAGTTCCCTGCGTGCTCTTCGTCTGCTCTCGCAGCACCACTCTACTACTCTCCCCTGCGCTCGCCGGGGCCTGCACATCACCGGCGTCCACTCGGCGCAACCGGCCAACGTCTCAGACCGAGCCTCTCTGTACTCCAGCCGCACCATTGCTGATCTCAAGAATGAGTGCCAGAAGCGCTCCTTGAGGAGCAGCGGTACGCAAGCCGAGGTAAGTGCCATACTCATCCTTCTACCCTACCCCGTGCCCATGGAAGGGACATACACTGAACCCAAGTCTAACTCGCAATCCAGCTTGTCGAGCGTCTCCAGAACCATGACTTCCTCCAATCCCGCGCCTTCAGCATCGCCATGCGCCGTATCAGCGGCAATTCCATTGCAGAGTATGTTGCCGCTGACCCTTTCTCTCCCTCTCCCTCGGTAAAAACTGGGATTTCTCGGAACTGACTTCTCGTGTGCAAATAGGCAAACCCACAGCCGTCAATTCAACACCTCTCGGTCCATGAAGGCCGTGGGTGACTCATCCACCGTCGACTTCGCCTACATGCCCTCACTGGCGGAGCTCGATGGCCCGGCCGCTCGCGCCGATCCGCAATTCCCGATTGTCCCCGACTTCTACTCCCACCAGAGCGCGGCCGCGACGGATTCCCCCATGAAGCCCCAGATCTACACCGTCTCCGGTGGGGCGGCCGATGTCTCCGCCAGTCCGATGACGGAGGTCGTCGACAACCACTCGGTGGACATCGACCCCTTCTCGCTGACTGAGGCGGTGGGTAAGTCCCGTTCCGGGGCGGAGTCGACCCAACAGAAGGAGCCTGGTGTGTTCCGCGAGCTGTGGACGGGGGTGGTGGATGACATCTTAGGTAGACAGCCGGCTGTTGTCAGAAAGTGATGCGTCCCACCCGGGTGATCGATTTATCCCATTTTCAGAATGTCTTGATTGTCTCTAGCGATGCGTGATGTCTATTGTGTTATCCTTTTCTTATAGTCATAGTGTTATCACCAGGTTAAGCTGAAAGTGTTAAAAATGACAGATCTATACCTAAGCATTGAATTGATCTGTATGTGTATACCCCACAACACTCTCTTAGAAGAATGATGTAGAACATCAATCAAACAATCCATCCATCATCCAGCCCACGCGACACATAACAGACCAGTATTTCACGTACGCATGATCATAGACACATACATAGTAAAAAGCTCCGATTAACCGAGCCAAATCCTTCTCGAAGGGCCACCAAGTCAACTAGTTACCCCAGAGAAATTGAGTCAGCGGCCGCCGGGGAAGTACCACCCAAGTCCGACCAAAGGTTCCCACACCCCATATTTTCTCAACCCGAAGGTACGTGGGAAAAGAAAAGCCTCCCTCGGCAATGAGGGATAAACTTTAATCATCAGGAACCTCTTCTATGTACATACCATAGTAGGTCGATCTCGGGTGAAAAGGGAAAGTTCATGATGTCGGCCAGGTGGAATGATCCCCTTCCCCCCCAGCATCAAAGATTATCCGATATCTCCCGAGGGTTTGGGAATTGTGTTCTTCCACTAACTTACCCACCCCGTCGTTTGAACGCATGATGTTTACCGTGAGGAGAGGAGCAGGGTGCTCCGGGCGAGTGAGGGTGAGTATACTTCATTTGGTGATCGTCTGATCACTGCCCGGATAGATGCGCAGGCAGTCGAGTCATCTCTGGGTTTGTTTGATATTTTTGGAGGTTGGGTGGAGGTGGTGCATTAATATGCTTTGTGCATTAAATTGTATATTCAGATGGGGCATAGTGTGCAGGAAGTACTCTCGTTTGTTGGGTTACTTTGTCAATGTGTAGAGGAGCAAACGGATGGAGGATACTATGTAGGGAGTCCAGACGCCCATTGTTGACAGTGCCTGCCTGCCTGCCTGCCTGCCAAGTCCAAGGTTCGAAATAGGACTAGTGCGATGGTCCAGGCTGGCTACCTCGGCTACCTGAAGATAAATGAGACAGTTTGTTTTTATTTAGAGAACCACCTATGCTTCCTTTCTAAGTCACAAGTGTCTCTCCTTTTTCAGACTTCTGTCATCATCAGTCTCCCCGACGGGGGACTGCTGCCGGATCGATTGGGCCAATCCATAGCTCTTCAACTCCTCCTTCTGTATTTCCCTCTCAGGAGAACAATTCGTTCATGCGTTGGGTGTGGAATCAGCGAGAGGCGGAGCGCGATGCGATGTGCTTGTGTGACCTTCAAACGGTGGGGTCTTAGCTCAATCAATCCAAACGGGAAATGCGATCGCAGTTCGTGCGATGTTTCAGATGAGCTGAGAAGACGAACACCCTCGCACAGGCAGCACAGCTCTATTTAGCAGGATTTCCAGACGTCAGAACTTTGGTCGGTTTAGGCTCTGTGTGCTGTGCTGTGTTGTGCTGGGCCTTACAGTGCACGGCAGTCACCGTCAGTCCGCACCGCCTACAGCATCAGGCCCGGAGATTTTGGTGGTTCTCGAGGAAGATCTGGCTGTCCGTCAGACTGTGATTGCACGGAGCGTACCGTAGATGAATCTAGCAAGCAACTGGCGGCTGGTATTAGTTGTATTCTCTGATGACATGTCAGCAGCACTGGCATTGTTATGAGTATTATTATGAGGTATCATCTCCTTATGCTTATGCTCTGGCATTGGGAAAACACTTGATGGGATCCACTGTTGTTGCCAAGTGACGCAGCCCAGAGTGACTGGAACGGTCGACTGCAGGCCGAGTGCAGAACCCCTCAGTGGCACACACTTTTGAAGTCGTCGATTGACGAGTATGTTCACATACAAGTCGAACGTCTCCCAACTGGGGCATTGAATGTTCGCATTCTTGCAACATTGGGAGAAGGTATATTGCTTCATGTCACCTGCAATTTGTGTATCTGCAGGCACTCACTGCAGGGTGCATGAAATTGGAACTGAAGTGAGCTAACTCAGGGGAAAAAAGATCTGGGTCTGGATCGCAGGGCGACAGCCAGTGGCAGCCCGTCCTCCCGCTCCGAAAACCTGCCGAGTGGATCTGAGCATAAACTAAAAGTAGTTTCCTGATTGTCCCTCCACATCCACATCCACATCCACATTCAAATCACTTCTCTTCTTCATCCTCTTTCACCTTCTTTTCAATCTCTATTCTTCACCCTGTACAGTACATTCTTTTGCTGTTTGTTGCCCGTTGCGCTCTTGCTGCTGCATCCCATCGTTATTCTCCGCTGTTCTGCTCATTAGCCTCTCGTTTGCTTCATTGTTTCACTGCAGACTGCTAGTCGATCTTTTCCCCCTCTGCTTCGGATTTAACAAATCCACGAGTCTATCACTGTCCTCACTTATCTAATCACAGAGCAGTACTCTGTGGTCTAGCATACGCTTGTAACTTCTGATATTGTGTCGCAACTGAACCTTCTTTCTTATCTCCGAGTACAACCGAAGCTTCCGGCACTTGATCAACATCGAGCCGTCTTGCAAATGAGTCTCAGGGTTATCTCTCAGGGATTCTAAATCGTGCTCGCATCATGCATCAAACCGGATGTCTTCTTGTCGCTGCTTGTATCTGGACAGCGGTCTTCGCCTTCATTCCTTATGAATTCAATCTCGATCTTCCGGCCGCAAAACACACCCCGTCTCGTCGCTTTTTGCCCTGGGAATCACTGAGCGATGCACTTGCCAAAAGCCAAGGCCAGACCAAAACCGATGAGCCCATAACGCTGGATGTGAAGAGAGCCCCTGTCCGTCGCAGCAATGACTTCGATATCGTCCTATCCAAGACGCCCTCCTGGCCCAATACCGCTGCTCTCGACCAGAACGGCAATGACCTGACTTATTTCGCAGTGGTCAAGATTGGTTCCGAAGCGCAGGAATTCTATCTGATGCTAGACACGGGTGGCACGAATTCGTGGGTCTTCAGCTCCGACTGCACCACCAAAGCCTGCAGCATGCACGACACCTTTGATGCAACGAGCTCTTCGAGTATCAATGTGACCACAACCGAGTGGAGTGTCGGCTACGGCTCCGGGTCCGCGAGCGGCGTACTGGCCACGGACAACGTGACGATTGCAGACGTGGAGGTGCAATTCACGTTTGGGCTGGCCACCAACGCCTCGAACAACTTCGAATCATACGCCATGGACGGGATCCTGGGCTTCGGCCGCTCCAACGACACTGCATACAACACTGCCACCTTCATGGACGCTGTGGCAAACCAGAAAAACTTCGATTCCAACGTTGTTGGCTTCGCTCTCTCGCGAACCAAGAGCGGCGAGAAGGATGGCACCGTCACGATCGGGGGAGTGGACGAGGACAAGTACACCGGCGACATCTCGTACACGGACACTGTGACTGGATCGGGGAACTATTGGCGCATCCCAGTCGACGATGTCTACGTCAACGGTGATGCCTGTGACTTTACCAAGAAATCTGCCATCATCGACACGGGAACATCGTACGCCATGCTCCCTTCCAAGGATGCGAAGACGCTGCACGCGCTCATCCCGGACGCCACCGCCTACGGCGACTATTTCCTGCTTCCGTGCAACTCGACTGCCGAGGTCCAAGTGGCCTTCTCCGGGGTCAACTACACCATCTCGCCGGAGGACTACATCGGCTCCGAGTACAACTCCAGCTGCATCTCCACGATTGTCAGCTACGACCTGTTTGGAGATAACATCTGGCTTCTGGGTGATGTCTTCCTGAAGAACGTCTATACCGTGTTCGACTTTGACGCGGCGCGGGTTGGTCTGGCGGTCCGTGCCTACAACAAGAACACCACATCATCCAGCTCAAGCAAGACCAACAGTTCATCCTCTGGCTCGTCCACCGAGTCTACTGCATCTTCCAGCTCGATCAATTCCACTGGCGTGGTTGCTAGCGCCGCAACAACCCAATCGGGCTCCAGATACTACCTGCCTGCGCTTGTGGTCGTCTTATGCACTGTTCTGCTGTAGACGGCCTTATCCACAACCAACCAAACTTTGGCCTTCTTGCACATACTGGGAACATTGAAAATTTCACTTCTTCATCTACTGTAGTAGATTGCGCCTCTGCATCACGCATTTCCGAAGATAACCCATGTGGTAGTCTATTATTAGTCTACAAATAGAGTTATTCTTCCTGACCAAAACCTTAAATTCTAAGCTATCGTTTCATCTTTCCCCGAGACACCCTCCCCACGATTACGTGCTCTATCTATACAGCGTGGCGGAAGGGGTCCACTTACACTAGGGCAGACAGCCTATAAAACCCGATCCGGTATCAAAGTGTACGACTTGGGGTATGATTCTGATCGCAACCGTCAGCTTTTTTCAGTGATCTGCACATAATCACCACACCTTGTTCTCGGGGGATACATACCCAGAGCAGAGCGATCAAAGTCCTCCACGCGATTAAATCCCGCGACGGCCATGAGGATATCGAAGTCGGCCAGCAGCGACTTCATGACGTGGCGCACGCCCTCCTCGCCCATGATACTGAGGCCCCAGACCCACAGCCGGCCGACGAAGACGAACCGGGCGCCCAGCGCCAGCGCCTTGGCAACATCACTGGCGCCGCGCACCCCCGAGTCAAACATGACATAGATCCGGTCCCCGACGGCATCCACAATATTCTCGAGCGCATCCAGACTCGCAATGGCGCCATCCACCTGCCGACCGGCGTGGTTGCTCACCACAATCCCATCGACCCCATACTCGACGCACTTCCTGGCATCCGCCACGGACTGGATCCCCTTGATCACGAACGGCCTTCCCCCGGAGATCTCGCGCCACCGCGCCATGAGCCAGGGGATCTTCTCCCACGACCAGGCGCGCCCGTGCCACACGGAATCGATCCACTTGGTCGACGCGGCCACTGGATCGTTGTCCGGGTCGATCCCGGCCTCCTGACACCGCCGCCGGAACACGGGGTCCGTCAACCCCAGATCCGCCCCGATGCCGCGGTAGAAGGCATAGTTCGAGTTCGCGACGTCGTCGTGCCGCCACCCGAGCTGCCACGTATCCGTCGTGAGGATCAGGGCGTCGAAGCCGGCGGCCCACGCGCGCCGCAGCAGCGACAGGGTCAGTTCGTCGTCGTGCGGCATGTACAGCTGGTAGAAGCGCGGGTTGCCGGGCCCGTTGGCGGCGCCGACGGCCTCGATGGGCGTGCTCCCCGCCGTCGAGAGGCAGTAGGGCAGGTTCAGCTCGCCGGCGACCTTGGCGACGGCGCGCTCCGCGGTCGGGTGGTAGATGGCGTTGATGCCGATGGGCGCGAAGCCGATGGGCGCGGAGACGCGGTGGCCGAAGATGGTCGTGGACGTGTCGCGCAGGTTCGTGTCGACGAGCTGGTTGGGGATGAGGCGGTGGCGGTAGAAGGCTTGTCGGTTTGCTAGGTGGGTCGTCGATTGGCCGGCGTTCGAGGAGGCGTAGTACCTGTTTTCCCGCGGTCAGTTGGATCTCTACCTGGGGGAAGTTAGGGTGAAGGGGCTGCGTACCATCCGCCCTGGCTGAGTTTGCGTTGAGCTTCTTCTTCGAGCTTGGTCGGATCTATCTCGTGCAGTGTAGCAAGGTTAGTCAGGGCAAAAACAAAACAAAACACATGCTTTCCAATGTTGCAGTAAGGGGGCTAAGTACATACCAGTATTGAACGGCGGAGTCTGCCCCTCATTCGCCTTCCAAAAGTTCTCGCGCTGGTATAACGCCCACTGCGGGGTGGTGCGTTTCTCGATGTTCGGGTTGTTCGGATCGCTCATTGTGTTCTTCTTCGGGGATCGGGGTAAGGTCTATGACTCTATGCTGTCTTCGATGAATGTGTCGTCAATAAGTTCTATAGCACTTTTATTTTTTAAATTACTGAGTGATGATTTGATGAGCATGTTCTTGGCGATTGGAATTGGTATTTATAGAGAGGTTACATTGTTGTTGTAGATATGGGTCGGGATGGATGACTTCACATTGACGCATGACGCAGGCGCACTTCTCGGGCGAGAGGGAGCGACAACATTTGGTGCCTGAATCCCGGGGGAGTAACAAATCCACTATTGAGGGTCCATGCTCAGTATCATGGCTCTTGTGGTCATTTTCTTTTTTTAGGTGTGCCACTGTTCCCTGGGAGTTGTCCAAATGCTAGTTACTTCATCCATATATTATACAGTATCAAAAGTATTGTACGGCCGTTTTTGGCTACAGAAACCCAGCCAGTAACCATTCCAATGAGTTAGGTATTCATCTACCACCCTAGAGCCATAGCCTTTCCTTCCTCATTCCTGTACAAGAAGACCGAAATCCGAAGAACTACTCCGTAACACTATCGCGCAACCCCCGCAGCGCACTCGGCTCCTTCGCCCCCAGCGCCAGCGCCATCGCCGCCGCGTTCTCCGACCGCCGCCGCGCGTCCGTCCACACCATGAACTCGCTGTACGTGCGCGGCATCACCTGCACATCCTTCTCCACGAGGAACGTGTAGTTGAACATGCCCGTGGGCTTCTTGGAGCCGTGCTCGACGTCTCGCACCTTGGTGTCGACGCGCACGCGCACCTTCGTGTATTGGCTCCCGCTGATTTCCAGGGGCTCAGTGTACGCGACTGTGGCCCGCAGGTACAGCACGCTGCCGACAGGGACCGAGTTCTCGAAGGTGCTGGGGTCCAGGGAGACGAAGTTGGGGCGCGCGTGGCTGGCCGAGGCGGCGCAGCAGAAGGCCAGCTCGAAGGTCTGCTTCAGCAAGAACCCGCCGAAGATCATGAAGTTGTGGCGGTTGCGATCCTGCGGTTGCATGATCATGGCGGATTTGAGGACCGAGTCACTCATTGAGATGGTGTTGGAGGGGCGGACGGCGGGGGAGGAGGGGTCTTTCCTGGGGTGTTAGAAATGAGGTCGGGGTCGTCGGGGAATGGGGGGTTTGTTGAACGCACTCAGGTAGGACATCTCCTTCGTCCACATGGAGTGGATCAGGTTACTTTCGCGCTCGTTGGGCGCCTTTTCGAGGAGACTTCTCGTGCGAAGGGCCTTTTTGGCTCGCGAGTTCTCCTCGCCTTTTTTGTAGAGGAGGCGCTCTTCGGCGGTTTCGACGAGGAGCGGCGCGATGGGGACGGGTCTGGTTACAGTTTTGCATGGTGGTTAGCAACGTTTTAATTTGTCGTTGAGAGAGCTACATACTTCTTGGTCGCGGGGTCCAGCGACACCATCGTGAACGCGCAAGTGATCAAGACGTCCTCGGGCTTCGCTTCCTCGCCGGCCGGCGGGGCTTTGGCCACCTGCAGCGACACCTCCATACTCGACCGCCCCGTCGCGTAGGTGACCTGACCGCTGAGCTCGAGGTCGCAGATCTCCATCAATGGGTGCTCGATGGTGATGCGGTCCACGGCCGCGGTCACCGTCGTGACGTGGTCGCCGGTGTGTCGGTAGGCGATGACGCCGGCCAGCGCGTCGAGATCCATAAGCAAGGATCCGAGTCTGTTGTTCCGTCTTAGTTCCGTGTCTTCAGGAATTTCCTTCTATAGGCTATGGAGTAAAACGCACCTGATATGACCCGAGGCGTTGAGATATGTGTCCAAAAGCCACTTATCTTGGGCTAGGGGGAGAATCTGGAGACAAAGTCAGTGACCGCGTAAGTAGGTTCTGCGATGTGTTTCACGAACAGCCTTGTAATAACTGTCCGACATCCTCTTGGGCGTCAGATCGGGTTTCCCCGACGTATAAGGCGCGCCAGCCTGTCCCGATTGCGCCGCCTCGCGGCTCTTGGTCAGGGCTTCGATCCAAGGGGTCTTGACCCGCATGGGCAGCCAGGTCGGAGGAGGGTGGGCTGCATTGACGCGGCTGGGGTGGAATTCTCGACTTGCGAGCAGTGACGGCGACAGTGCCGGGTGCTGCCGTGTGGTTGCGCGGTTGATGGTGCTGGAGAGGCATTTCGAACGGGCGACGGCGGACCGTCTGGTACTGAGACCGAACATGACGATGATGTGGTGTCACTTAGAGTAGCTACAAGGTAGGCCAAGGTAGGCCAAGAGAATCAGATGAAGAGAGGTAAGTTCATGGAGGCCCGACGATACGAGATATGTAGATGAAAGGATGCCTCGGGCTCGGCAGAGACAGGCCGTCTTCGGCTTCTGTCGCCGGGGCAAGTCGGGAAGGCTGTCTCGGAGCCACCCGCGGCATTGGGGAATGCCACAATGGGGGAGAGGCAAGTATACAATGATGAAACCATAGTTCGTACTGAGTGGTATTCTAACACTAGGCTACAAAGTAAGCAATTGCTCTCCCCACATGGTTTTCCCGATCTGGGGAAGGGAGGGTGGTTGCCCTGCAGTAGCCCGACACCTCCTGTAGTGTCCGTCCTATGACATCATCACTTCGGCGAGATCTCCTCGTCGCCGGCAAAAAGAGTCCGGGAACAAACAAGTGAGTTTTTATTTCTCATGGCTAAGTCTGGTTCTTGGACCTCGATCTGGATTTTTTTTTGTCGGAAATTCTAGAATATGTACACCAACCAACCCTAAACACCAGCTAAGTCAAGAAACACAAATCATGCTCCTGGCCTATACAAAAATTGGACCCCAGGTGGCCTGACTCAATGACAAGGGCTGGCTAAAGGAAGAAGATACAGAAGAGAGAAAGAGAACAAAACAGAAGGTAGAAAAACGACAAAGTGTTCAGACACAGTAGACCCAGGGGTGTTTGCACATGCTATTGACCCCAAATAAACATGGAATAATGTTGGAAACCGACCGCACCCCGTTGCCAGATTGATTTGCCGCCACCGTTTCCCCCAAGCCCGGCCCCCTAGACTCCGTTTGTTTTGCCCAAAACCAATACATGGGGAGTTAAGAAATGAGAATGAAAATGAAGAGGAGCATGTTGTCGTGTCACATAAAAATCGCCACTGATCCAACGTCTTTGGCTCATATGTAAGAGACCCAGATTCGTTGATATGGAACTCCCATCCCACATGCTGCATCCACTAAGATGTTCGATCTCTTCGAGATGAAATAATATCAGGGCCGACGCTGGGCCAGATATACTCGCACTGGGTGCGACTCGCCGTAAACAGCAACGGGCGATTGTTCTTCTGACTGATGTCGAGTCGACACTTAGAATGTGGGAAGCCTTTGCACCAGTCGGAGGAACCCCGCGTGTCCAAATGTGGCAGGAGAGTCATCGTGACGGATCTTGGAGGCTGAGCAAAGACTGACCAGGCGAGCAGTAAGTCCTTGGTATATTCGAGAAAAGATATGTCCGTAACTCATCGAGTAAGGGATTTTGTGATCCCACAAATCGACATGGCGGAGCCAAGCTAAATGTCAGCAACCACCAAGTACCTCGTTGATCTTGTTGTTCGCTAGCGAGACACCTCCATTCTTGGGTTCGGGTGGAGCTTCCTCCTTCATGCATGCATTTTCCAAGATATTGGTCCACTTCCCACTCGTGCCTGCATGGCTGTGCTTGAGATGCTGGCGGAAATGGTCTGCACGGAAGAACTTCTTCGCATTGTTGCATTCACCGAATTTGTGTACGACGGTGAGATGCTCGAATCGGCGGTCCCAGTCTGGTTGGGGATGACTAGGAAACTCCTCGCCGCAGTAACCGCAGATGTCATGTGACGGACCGGCCCCGGTCTGTCCGGAAGTGGACGAGGGATGGAATGCTGCTTGGTAACTCGATAGAGCAGCACACGACCACGAATGCCGTCGCAAGTGGAGCGAGTTCTGATGGCGTTCGGCTTCGTTCTTGTTCTTGAACCTATTGTTACAGTAAAGGCATGAATATTGCTTCTCCATCTCATGCGAACTATCCATCACGATCGAGTTAGATAATTTCCATACCAGGTTCAGAGAAGGATAGTTGCTTACCGGAGCTCCTCGGGGCTATCGAACTTCTTCGGCTTCTTGGGACAGCAATCGCAAATGTACAATCCGCCGAGCTTGGGTCCTGTAGGCTTCGGTGCAGGATGATTCGTCTGCAAAGACATTTTGCGCGCGGTTTCGACACTCGAAGGTTCGATAATGCTAGGTCCCTGGATGACTCGTGCGACAGGTGGTGCAACCATGTGAGCGGGTGAGGTCGGATTCATGATAGACTTGTCGTGAAAGGTATCAAGGTCAGACTTGGGTGAAAGCCCTCCAGGTGACCGATCATAGCTGGTCATACTACTGCCTCCCACAGATAGTCTCGCCGACGAGTAAGATCCGGTAGTTCGTATACTCAACGATGAGGCCGCCGAATGGCTCCCGTGACCGGCAACATAACCAGAATTGACTGTCAAATTGTTCGTGTACGGTTGACCACTGGTTCTTCGTTGAGTGAGATCCCCGTTGCTGGTGATGATATGAAGTCGATTTCGATCGTCGCCCATCGGCTCACGAGGAGGAGATGATGCTCTTCTTTTCAACCCCGAAGATTTTGAAGCATCGGAATACGGCGGTGTGGCTTCCCTAAGGTAAACCATGCGGGACGGGAGCGATTCGTCCGTGGAGAAATCGCCTTCGATATCCGAGAAGACGCCATGATCGTAGCTACCTCGGTGTGAGCGGCTGGGAAGACTGATATTCTCGTCGTATGAAGGTGTTGTTCCACCGCGACGGCGGTATACCTCCCGCAGATACCCTGAATGGTCGAGATCGACGGCAGATGACGGAGCGCTACTCTCAACACTGGGGCTGCGGCCCCCAATGTAATCCCTCCACCCAACCTTAGTACCCGGCGAGACTCCCCCTGATTGATAGCTTCCAGGTCCAGGCCATCTTACGTCGAGAGCCGA